AAGAGGCCACGGAGAGGTCCTGTGGGGGATGTCACCCCTGGTTTCAGCTGACACCCCACTCAGCAGCTGCTGCTCTGTGCCACCAGCACACTGCCAGCCCCAGACCCCCTGTGCCACGGGCATTTGTGCCAAGTGCCCTTTTATTTCTGTGTACACGTTGCAAATGGCAGTCCCAGACTCCCCTGAAGCTAATGAGTTAATTAACCACTTAATTAATGAGCTGGCTCACCTACCCAGATCTTCCAATTCTTCCCACCCAAGGTGATTTTTACAATTTTGAGTTTATTTTTTTGTTTTTCAGCCATAATACCTCAACTCTCCAGAACTGAGAGAATAAAACTAAGCCTAACACCAGACCTGAAACTAAACTTTTCCCTAAATATTAATCTAACTCTAAACATAACAACAACACTCATGGTAACCTGAGGCCACAGCCTAAACTTACCCTAAAGCTAATTACACCCATAAACCTCACATAATCCTAGTCCAAAACCTTCAATAACCCCAAAATGAACCATAACCCAAAACATAACCATAACACATATCCCAAAACAAAAAAAGACCCAAACCTTAAACCTTGCAAAAATGTAAATCTAATAATTTACATCAAAAATCACCCTGAACCAACACTAACCCTATCCTGATTCATTACAAAAGCCTAACACTAAACCCAGACCTAAACCAATCCCAAATCCTAAAATTAACCCTAACCCTAACTCAGAATGTAAAAAAAAAAAATAATCCCAACACTATCCATAACCTCAAGCCTTACACAACCCTAAAAATTATCCTTAAACAACCTTAAACCAAACCACTACATAAACAATCTGAAACCCAAACCCACCCTTAACCCTATCCCAAACCCTAACCCTTCTATAAAGCTAATCCTAACCCTCATTTAACCCTAACCATGACCCTAATCCTTGCATAAATGTAACCCTAACCCCCTAACCCTAACCTTCCATGGGTTGCTTCTCCTCTGCACATGGAACCCTGTGTTCTTTCCTTCCCATGGAGAGGAACTCTCATTCTCATCCAGAAGACCATGGCCAAAATTTTTATTGCATCTCCAAAATTCAAAAATTGAAAATTCTGGGCTCTGAGATGCAAAAATTAAAAATTCTGGGCTCCAAGCATTGCTCCCAGACAAAAACAACCATGACAGATGGGTTTAGCTGGCCTTGACCTCCCCTGAGATGTCTCTCATCTACATCTGGAACACCAGGGCCATGAGATTTCCTTCCTGTGGCAAAGAACTGCCACTCTCACCCAGAAGCTCTTGGCTGAAATTGGAATTCCACCTCCAAAACTGAGTACATGCAAGGATTGCTGAGTGCTAGGACAGATGAGTCTGGCTGGCCTCGTCCTCTTGTGGGCCTCCTCTCATCCACACCTTCAGCACTGGGGCTTCCATGCTTTTCTTCCTGTGGAAAGAGCTGCTCCTCTCATCCAGAAACCCATGGCAAAATCTGCATTGCACCTCCAAATCTCAGCACATCCAAGGATTTCTCCCAAAAAAAGCAGCTAGCAGAGACAGGCCTGGCTGGTTTGGGCCTCCCCTGGGCCAGCTCCCATCTGCACCTGCAACACTGAGGTTACACGATTTCTTTCTTGTGGAAAAGAAATCTCATTTTCATTTTTCAGAGACCGTGACTTTCCTACCTCTTTCTTTTCTTCCCTGTCCTTGCCTTGCTTTTACTACCCTGCCATTGATTTGCCTTGCCTCCCCATCCCTGGGCACGCCTTCCTCTGCCCTGCTTTTCCTAAAACCTCTGGGCTTTCAGTCAGTCTACTGCTTTTCCTTGCCATTCCTATCAAACCTCACTTTTCCTTGCCATTCCTTTCCACCCCCTACCTTGTCTTGTCTTGCCTACACTTCTGGCTTTTTATGCCTTTTTCACCCATCCCTCACCTTTGCCAGCCTGCTCTTTTCTCCCTCATCTTGCCTTGCCCTGCCTGCTCCTCCTGACTCTCATTCCTTTCCCATCTCTCACTGCCTTGCCTTGTAAAGCCCCCATGTCTTCCCTGCCCTGCCTACCAATTCCTTTCTGCTGCCTTTCAAACCTTCATGTGCCTGCTCCTTTCTTCCCTCGCCTTGCAATGCCTTGCCTTCCTCTTCTTTGCCTTGCCTTGCCTTTCTGACCCCTCTGTGTCCTTGCCTTGCCTTTCTGACCCCTCTGTGTCCTTGCCTTACCTTTCTGACCCCTCTGTGTCCTTGTCTTGCCTTTCTGACCCCTCTGTGTCCTTGCCTTTCCTTTCTGACCCCTCTGTGTCCTTGCCTTACCTTTCTGAGCCCTCTGTGTCCTTGCCTTACCTTTCTGACCCCTCTGTGTCCTTGCCTTGCCTTTCTGACCCCTCTGTGTCCTTGCCTTGCCTGTCCATTCCTTGTGTGCCCATTCCCTGCCTTGCCTTGCCTGGCCCTTTCTGCCCTGACCTTTCCTTGCCTCCCCCTCCCTGTCCCTGCCTTTATGCTCACTAACAGCATTCTGCCACCTTTCTATGGGATCAATCCCTGCATGTTTTCTATTTTGGAGGAGGGATTCCCATTTCTTCTTATAGTTCTCTCTTCAGCAAAGAAATGAGATTTCACTCCACACATTGGGTGGTCCTTGGTGAATTTAATTGCTATTCCTAGCAGGGAGCTCTGTGGGCTAGACCTGTTGAAGTGTTATGGTGGGAATGCAAACTCCAGGCTGTTGAGCTTTTAGTCCTGGGACCTTTAGTGTGTGAGCAGCGCCTGGTGCTGTTCTGTTTGCATCCTGACTCTGTGAGACTGAAGGATTATGACAGGACACGGTGCTGAGAAGGAAAGTGAAGACACCAGGGCGGTTTGAAGCTGCAGGCAGCAAGAGCTTTCTCAGCCGGCACTTTTGTGAGCTCTGTTTTCGCTGGATGCTTTCAAGTTTGTAGGCAGACTCTGCGAGAGTGAAAAGACTTCTCAGAGCAAAGGAATTCATGCTGTGTCCCACCCTTTGGGTGTGCTGTAAATAAGAGTCTGTACTTGGAAGGGGAAGGGCAGTGAAGACTTGCTGTCCTGACAGAGGTTATTTGAGAGCAGGGACACTTCCAGCTTGGCTCTGCCCCCGGGGTTTTTCCGAGCTGGTCCCGGTGCCTTTCCTTCTTTTGCGAGCCGGCAGCGCTATCGTGTGGTTGCTGTGATGAGCTCTGACAGTGCCCAGCAAAAACCCAAGGTTTTTATCTGTCCCAACACAGTTCCGTGCACCTTCAGGCAATTTCAGTCTCACGGAGTCCCGTTACAAAAGGAAAAACGTTCAGCAGCTGGTCCGACACGAAATGTTCTAGAGGGAAGAGGCAGTGCTGGAATTCACTTTTCTTTTGGAGCCTGTAACTGCAGAACCAACAAGGAGATGATTCATCTTCCCCTACGCAGGATCATGTTCTTCCAGTCTGCAAGAGCCAGGATCCACAATGGAGCTCTCACATGGACTGCTCCCACAAAAATGGGGCTGGCAAAAGCCCAGAAAGCCCAGAAAACCAGCAGGCAAACTTAAAAATTAAGGAAACACTCTGAGCCCAGCTCAAAATAACCCCATTTTTGGGGTAGTGCAGAGCCAAGCTGCAAACATTCCTGCTCTCAAATCAGCGGTGTTAGGACTGAAAGTTTTCACTGACCTTCCCCTTCTAAGTACAAACTCTTATTTACACCACATCCAAAGGGCAACAGGAATTAATTTGTGCTAAGAAATTTTTTCACTCTCACAGAGCCTGTCTACAAATTTGATGTGATATTACTGTTTCCTCTCTGGACTCAAGAAACAATGTCAATGCTGACTAGAGGGCTTTGGGCATCCTAGTGGAAGCTTTGAGCTGTAAAAGAGGACTTTGGACCGTCCCAAAGGGACTTTGGGTCTTCAAACTGGGTCTGTAAGAATTAAAAATGAGTTTTGGAAATGAAAATTAGGGCCTTGAAATTGTGTGCCCTCAAAGGATGCTTCACTGCCACAACCAAAGGCTTTTCCTCCTAAAAAGGGATCTTTAGGGGCTTAAAAGCCTGGAAGAAGCTGGGAAGAGCGGAACAGAAACCCCCAGCACTCCAAGTGTGCCAAACTAAACGGTGACCAGGCTCACTGACAGCCCTCAGCAGCCTTTGAGTCCTGTGGCTGCTGGAGCTCCTGGAAGAGGCAGGAGCTCTGCTGACAGACAAACAGCCCTTTGTCCTCATGGTCCAGTGACTCTCAGCCATGAGAGGTGCCCAGGCTGGGGTTCTGTGGCCTCAAAGGGACATGGCCCCATGTGGCCTCATGTCACAAAGAGGCAGAGATATGGCACTGGTCCAGCAATTGTGATCTCACCTGCCCAGTGTTTGGCATCCTGAGGAGAGAGCTGCTGAAAGCTTGCTGGGCTGAGCTGGCCTTCAGGATATCTAGGCTCCTTCCACTGTGGGCCTGCCTTTTTCCAAGCAATCTTCATCCTTGACAACAGCTACAAGCACCACCAAATTTTTTTGATAGCTGAAGGTGTTTTGTGGGTCATGTTTGGGGTTTCTAAATAAGTTTGTTGAGCTACAATTATTTCCTTTCCCTTCAAGTGATGGGATTGGTGCTGAGCTGATCTTTTTGGAGATCTTTCTGGAGCTTTGTCATCCAAAGTTTTCCCCTCTGTTCCTGAGAGGAGTGATGACTGCAAGGTGGAACAGCTCCTGTGAGTCCTGGAAATACAAGATTCCAAAGGGAAAGGAAGGTGGCCTGAGGCCCAGAAATCAGAGTGGGTTTGTTGGATTTTTGGCAGAGTACACAGAGAATAATCAGTTTTCCAAAACTGCTTCCCTACCAGTAGATGTCAGCAGCGTCTTAGGCTTTCCCTGATGTTTGAGTTGGTGACTGGAGCTGTTGTCCTCGGTGCTCCTGTAGACAACTCAACATTTGAATATGGTTTTTAGCTACAACATTGTCTCACCTCTTTTCAAACACCATTTCCCTGCAGACATTGCCAAGGGAATGGCTCTGCCACAAAGGATTTTTCCCCCAGAGAAGATTTCCATGGACTGGCAGCAAAGACAGAGACCTGGAGCAGGACTCTTCAACCTGGGCAATACTTGCTACATCAATGTCATCCTGCAGTGCCTGACATACACACCCCCTCTGGCCAACTACCTGCTCTCTTACCAGCACAGCCAGTCGTGTGAGTGCTTTTAGGAACATCTCCTTGTAAATCTCTTGGGCACATCCCAAGGATTCCCAGAACCTGGAATCAGGTTTAGGAGAACAGCAGCCTTTCTCTGTTGGCCCCATGAGCTTATGTACTTTGAGCATCATCTAAAAGATGTTTGTCCTATCAAGGTGCACTCACCTTCAGCAGAACACCTCTTTCTAGCCCCAAGTTTCTACCCCTGCAAGTTGAACTGTCTTGGCTTTACTGCACAGAACACTTCTGCCAGTTTAGCCTCCCTCTGAAGTGTGTTTTCTGTGCACTCAAATATCCTGGGCTTGTTGGGACACTAGCAGTTTGGGAGTAAAGAAGTGGAGACTGTTCTTAGAACTTCAAGATCTACATTAGGAAGCTTCTGTCCCTCCCTTCCTTGCTCCCTCCCTGCTCTCCTGTTCAGGCCAGCAGCAAGGCTTCTGCATGATGTGCACCATGGAAGCACACGTCAGGAAGGTCCTGTGCTCCTCAGCCAGCGCCATCCTCCCTGGAGCTGTCCTCAGGGACCTCAAATGTAAGTTGTTTCAGGCACTCCAAGAGGTTTTCTTCTTTGTCTTCCCTCCTTCTAGGAGAGAGCTACTAAATTCTTTCTTAGTCATAGGAGAGGAGTTTGAGTATGGCAGGCAGGAAAACGCCTACGAGTTCTTGCGCTGCACGCTCGATGCCATGCACAGAGCTTGTCTGAGCTGCGAGTAAGAACAAGCAAACTGCAAGTTTCAATTTCCCCAAGCCCACTGGACTCCTTGATGTGCTCCCATCAAGGAAAACTGACGTCCAGACCTCTCAGTGCTAAACCCACAGAGGAGGTGACTCTCTGCCTTGCCATTGATTTCCAGCTTGGACGTCTCTTCAGAAGAAACTACCATCGTCTATCAAATATTTGGGGGCTTCATGAAATCTAGAGGTATGTTTCCATAAGTGCTGCTTTACTTGGTTTGTCTGTGCCCTTCTGTCTGCCTTTGACAAGCAGCTGGTGCTGTGAAGGCTGGTGTAGGAGAACCCACGAGCATAAACCAGCACAGTCAATTAATTTCACTCAGCATTTTGATTTTCCTTCCAGTCACGTGCTTGAGCTGCCAAGGAGTTGTCGATTCCTACAAGGCCTTCCTGGATGTCTCTTTGGATATCAGAGTAAGAGGTTTGCAACTGAGCTCCAAGACATTCCAAGGCCCCTGTAGCTTTCCAGAACCAAAGCACTTGTATTAAAAACCTATACTGCGAGCACAAGGGAGCTTGGTGGTGAGTGGGAAGGGGAAAGCACAGAATCCTCAGTGTCCTGCAAAGGCCATGGCACTGCTCCCCCCGTGGTGCTGGCTTTGGGCTGGACTAGCAATCATTAACCCCTCTGCAGCCTCGACATACTCTCCTGCTCCTTCCCTCTGCCCTCCCTCAGTACCCACCTGGCTCCCAGGCTCAAAGGTAGGATCAGTTTTCACTGCTGATGCCCCTGCGTGCCATTGGTAGCTGAACTGAGTGGTGCCAACACAGAGGGAGCTCTTGATGACTCTGGGAGCCCTGGGACATGAGGGAAATGTTCAGCATCACACTCTCCTTCACCTCCTCCTGGGGTAACACTGGCTCTCCTCACCATCAGCTGCCTGGGTCTTCTCGTCCTGGGAAGTGTTTGGATGAGAGCATTTCCTGCAGCTCCTCTCTCCCTCCTCCAGGCAGCCTCATCCCTCACCACAGTTCTGAAGGACTGTGTGACACCCAAGCAGCTGGATCAGAAGGAGTGCTTCAGATGTAGCAAGTAAGATGATTCCACATGACGCAAAAAACACCAGATCCTGCGTGAGGGGCTGCATGGCACTGAACTCATCTTCTCAAGGAGATTTAATGCACAATAACAAGACACAACTTTTTTAATATGCCTTTGAATAACCTTAAAATAGCGTAAGGATGTGTGAGACGGGAAAGGTTGCCTGGCCTCCTTGGGGGAAGAAGGGGTGCATTTCAGCACTTGGCTGTGTGCTTGGTTTCAAGGTGTAAGAAGAAAGCTGCTGCCTCCAAGAAGGTTACAGTCCATCGTGCACCCCGAGTCCTCACGCTGTGTCTGGAAAGGGCTGACCAGTGGACTGGCACAAAGATCAGCAAGGTGTGCATGCGGGTGGAGGGCAACTTTCCAAAGCAGAAGATTCCCCAAAGCTCTGTCACAAGATGCTCACATTGGAATTTTTGTGTTCCCTTCTGGGGAGAGAATTACCATGAAAAGACGAGGCTGGACTCTGTTCTCAGCCAAAGCATCTCTGTCAGAGCAGTTTCCTGCCACCTAAGCTAATGCTGAAGGCTATTTACTGTGGTAGCTGAAGATAATTTCTGAGCCCTCTTGGTCTCTCTGTAGTTTGTGGAGTATCCTGAGTACCTGGATCTTCGGCCATACATGTCAGACACAGCTGGAGAACCCCTCCTCTGCTCCTTATATGCCATCGTGGTTCACAGTGGGGACACCTGTCTTGAAGGACACTTTTTGTGCTATGCAAAGGTAAAGAGCACCTTCCCTCCTGACAGGGACAAATGTGTGTTGGGAAAGACAAACTTTCCCAGCAGAGTTACTGGGAACCAAGGTTTTGGGGGAGAAGGTTTCATCTGGAGCTTGATTGGATTTGTTTTTGTGTGCTCCTGGTTTGGCAGTTTTCTGTCTTTGGTGTTGTGGAGATGTGGATGTGACAGCAGGGTCAGAGAGAGAGAAAGCTTTCCCATGAGTTGGGCTGGGAGGCTTTAGGGAGCTGGAGAGAAATAATGATAATCAAATGGAAACAATCCACAGGTGTTGTTTGTAATAAGCTCTTTTCCTCATAAGGTTGTTTACCAAAGGATGGTTTCTTAATTAGCCAGTGGTGACAGTGTTTTCATTAAAGGACCAATCGGGTCCCCCTGTAGTTAACTCGAGTGTAAAAAGGAATGGGTTCCTAATAAAATTGTTACTAGCCTGAAAATACTTGGAGTATGTCACTTTTATCTGTATATCTGTTTATCCGTGTCATTTCTGACTCAGCGGTGACACGGACAAACCATGCAGATCTCTCCAGAACTGGATGCCTTTGTTTGCAGGCCAGCAATGGGCTGTGGTACAAGATGGATGATGAGTCTGTGGATGATTGTGACATCCACACAGTTCTAGGGCAGCAAGCCTACTTGCTGTTTTATGCCAGGTAAGAACCAGGACCATGTGGTCAGAAAACGTTTCCTTATCCTGAATTTGCTGTTTGTCTTCTCATCCTCCTGTGTGTCTCTGCCACAGGAGACAATTCCTTCCTGCACCCTTCAATGCTATCACTTCTGAACTATCCCACTCCAGTCCTCCTCTTTCCCTGCTGGGATTTAGGGTGCTGTCCTGTGCAAACTGCCTCTTGTCTGCTCTCTGAAGATGGTTCCTGTAGAGAAGAGGACTTAAAGGGAGCCCCTAGGAAAGACAGGGAGAGACTCATTGGCAGGGAGTGTAGTGAGGGTCAAGGGGAAATGATTTTAAAGTGAAAGAGGCAAGATTTAGTTTAGATATTGGGCAGAAATTCTTCCCTGTGAGGCTGGTGAGGCCCTGGCACAGCATGTCCAGAGCAGCTGTGGCTGCTCCTGGATCCCTGGAAGTGTCCAAGGCCAGGTTGGACAGGGCTTGGAGCAACCTGGGGTAGAGGAAGGTGTCCCTGCCATGGCCTGGGGGTTGGAATGAGATTGCTTTCATCCAAATTCTAGGATTCTGTGAAGTGCAGGCCGTAGGGGGTAAAAAGATGAGGACTTGCTCTGACAGTGGCAGACATGGTGGGAAGACTTCAATTAAACTTACCACTGGTGACCTTGGTGAAATCTTCTCTCTGTTGCTCCAAAAAATGACTGAATCCCAGAGGAACCTACAAGGAATGCCTGAAGCAGAGATAACTCTTTTTCCTCCAGGTGCTCAGATTTGAAAAAGAGAGAAACAACAGCTTCCTCACCAGCACCACCAAATGCCCATTCCATGCTCGGTCAGGGAGGGACCAGCCACCAGCAGGGAGGTTCTCCAGCACCACAGGCTCTGCCTGGCAGGATTAAGGTGGTGCACAGTCACAGGAACCATGTCAGGGAGAGAGCCAGGAGCAGATCCCCACAGTGGGGCAATGATCTCTGCAGCTGCATCATGAACAGCACCACCTGTGGCAATTTGACAGGAAGGAGGAGGAAGAGAAGCAGTCCTTTAGGCCTTGACCATGCTCCCAGGAATGTCACAGCTCCAGGGCTCTCTGACAGGATCTGCCAGCAGGCACCTGCACCAAGCCTTGCTTGGGTGCAAACCTTGCCAGTAGAGACAGAGCTGGGCAGATCCTCATGGCAGGATTACAGTCTCTGGAGCCAGGTTGTGGAGATCACAAACTCTTACCTGTCAGTGTGGAGGTGTGAGCATCCCAGAGATGCATATCAGACAAACACAGCCTGGATGATGCAGCAGCACAGCATCTGAAATTAAAACAAAATCCCACCTGTTTGGAACCAACAGGCAGAAAAGCCAAAGCCAGAATTAAAACCCCTTGTTGGCCTGTGGGGGACCAGATCTAAGTATGTTTTGTCTTAAACACTCTGATTATTACAATAGGAAAGGTCATTGGAGAAGACTGAGACAAATTCCTGCTCTGCTTTGACACTCACGCTCACTTCCCAGAAGAGGGCCAAAAGAGCTGGCTGTACATGCATGAAGAAAACAGCACAAAAAATTTAGTCTGTGTCAGAGGTAGGCACCAAGTTAACTATAAAAGGAAGCCAGTTGGCCCCCCTGGCTCTTTTTCCTCTTTCTGGCTTTTTTTGTCTTGCAATCCCTGCTCCAGACCATTCACACTAGAACCAACATGGGATCTATGGACTGGTGATAAGCTTTGTTCTCTCTCTCCCTTTTCTGTCTTTATTATCTCCTCCCTTGCTTTGTCTGGGCAAAGCATGGCAATGATTCTGCCCCATGCTCCACACTGAAGTTTGTTGTGGGAGCTTGTGGAAGTGTGTTGTGGCTTGTTAGCCAGCACTTTTGAGGAGCTTGTGGTGAGAGCTGAGAAATTATTGAAGTGTACTGTATGAAATTAAGGGCTTGTCAGCTACCACTCATGGAAGCCTAATGTAGAATTTAAGGGTTTTTTAGCCAACATCTTTTGGGCCTAAATATTTGGCTGCTTGCCAGAGTTATGGCAACAATAAAACATAACGAACTCCCTGGCACATCATCCAGTGTCTTTGTTGAGCTGATGACAATTTCCAGTGAACATCATGCCTCCGACTGGTGGGCTGTGGCATTGTATGAATAATTTACAGGGTGTTTCCTTCTTTGTAGGTTTTGAGGCGGAAATACCCCCAGTGTGATGTTTGTGTGATGGGACTTTGAGAGCTGTGTGCTTGCATGTGCCCATTTAGCAATCTGTTGCTTTTAAATATGGAGTTTAAGTCACTGCAAGGGACATGGATGTGGCAGTAGTGGCTGGAAAGGGCTGGAGGGCCAGGCCCTGAGGGTGCTGCTCAGTGACACCACCACAACTATGGAGCCAGGAACAGCATTCCCAAGGGTCAGGGGCTGGTCCTGGTCTTTCTTAACTGGATGCTGGGGCAGAGAGGACGCTCAGCAAGCCACCAGAGGACACCAGGAGCGGTGCTTGGGTCAGGGGACTCGTGCCACCACAGCGGTGACAAGGGCAGATTGTCAACCTGGAGGAGGGAGGAGCAGATGACAGGACTTGTGCAATGCCAGAGAGGAAGAAGAGGAGTGCAGAAAATACCAAAAGTGTCCCTAGCAGAGAGCAGCTTGCACAAAGAGCACCAGCAGACTGCCCTGACTCTGCTCTGAGTGCTGCCCCTAGTAGGGAATCACTCAGAGAGACACTGCAGACACCTGCACAGCTCTGCCAGCTGCTCACTTGTGCACAATGAGGCTTGGACACGAAGAACAGGAGCTTCTTGAGAAGCTCCCTGCTCATCCAGGCCTGTTGTCATCCCCATCTTCCAGCCTGCAGGGACAGCCTGCTGCTGTGCCCTCAAGATTACTTTCCTGAAGAACATCCATCCTTCCTGCACCCCTTTGTTTTAAAGGGCTGCTTCCCAAGGAAGTTTCCAAATCAGCTTCTTCAAAAGGTCAAAGTCTGCCCTCCAGAAGGGCAGTGTGGAAGTTGTGTTGGTGCTTCTCCTGGTTTCACCAGTTACTGAGAATTCTGTTATTTCATGATCATCAACCTGGAGGTTACGATGCAAACAGTAAACTTGCCTTCAGGACCAAACCCTGGCTGAGCACTTTAATTTCTGTAGAGTGTTACCAAGCAAGAAAGAACAGGGGTTTGGTTGTTGGTGGGGTTTTTTTTGTTTGGTTGGTTGTTTTTTGTTTTTGTTTTTTTGTTTGTTTTTTTTTTTAACTGGGAAAAGAGCCAAATTGCCTGAAAAGAAGGCTTTGGAGAGGAAAAACCCTGCTTGGAACTCACTAAAAGAGAAGTTGTGAACTGAAAAATTCTTTGGACACTAAAAATGAGACTTTGTAGCCTAAAAGGAGCCTGATTAGGAAGCCAGAACTAAGAGCTTCAGAAGGAAACATGGGGTTTAGGACCATCCCAATGTGGATTTGTAGCCTAGGCAGGATTTCTGTCCAATTAATGAGGGTTTAGACCCAAAAGATGAAACTCTGTGCCCTAAAAAAAAGCAACAACTAATATAAGAGAGGTTGGGAGCCCAAAAATTAAGATTTTGGCCCTAAAAGGCAGGCTTTAAGCATGACAAAAATTAGTAGGTGAGATGCTACAAATGACCTTGTGGACCCTGCAATGGAGGTGAACCTCTCTGGCTCCAAGAAATGAAGCTTTGGTGCTGACTAGAGGGCTTCAGGCAGTCCAGTGGAAACTTGAGTGGCAAAAGAGGGTTATGGACCCTCCAAAAGAAGGTTTGGGTCTTAAAGAGAGGGCTTAGGACCCTGAAAACTCAGCTTTGAAAACACTTTGAACCCTGAAGTTAGGTTTTGTGCCCTCAAAGGATGCTTTGTTGCCACAGTTTAAAGCTTTGCCCCTAAAAAGAGATTTAGGGCCCCTGGAGCCTCTCTTTCCCTCTGCCTCCCCCACCCAGGATGCCCCTGGAGTCCCTCCCTGCTTTCTTCCTCTCGCTGTGGGGGCAATCCCTGTACCCCACATCCCTGGGGTGTTCTGGTCCCCTTAAGGGCCCCTGGCCAGCACTGGCCCCGTGCCCTGAGCCTGACAGGCGTTCCCAGCTGCTCCAGCATGGAGGAGACGTGAGTGCACCGGGATCCCTGGGGCTTCCCCTGCTGCTGGCACCCCCTGAACCCTCTGTTCAGAGAGGGGGTTCCCCTGAACCCCTGGGCACCCCCTGAACACCCTGGTACCCCCTGAACTCCCTGGCACCCCCTGAAACCTCTGTTCAGAGAGAGGGTTTCCCTGAACACCCTGAACCCCCTGAACCCTCTGTTCAGAGAGAGGGTTCCCCCTGAACCCCCTGGCACCCCCTGAACTCCCTGGTACCCCCTGAAACCTTCTGTTTCCCCAGGGTTCCCCCTGCACACCCTGACACCCTCTGAACCCTCTGTTCCCCCCAGGTTCCCCCTGAACCCCCTAGCACCCCCAAACCCTCTGTTCCCCCAGGGTTCTCCCTGGCACCCCCTGACCCTTCTGTTCCCCCAGGGTTCCCCCTCACCACCCTGGCACCCCCTGAACCCTCTGCTCCGAGAGGGTTCCCCCTGAATCCCCTAACACCCCCTGAACCCTCTGTTCAGAGAATGTTCCCCCTGACCACCCCAGCATCCCCTGAACCCCCTGGCACCCCCTGTTCCCCCAGGGTGCCCTCGGTGGAGGCCTACGAGGCAGCCATGGTGCTCAGCGGGGTGGGGGACGCGCTGGGCTACCGGGGAGCCCGCTGGGAGTACTGCACCTCGGGCCCCCAGATCCACGGCGAGCTGGCCGAGCTGGGGGGGCTGGCAGCCATCAGCCTGGAGCCCCCCGAGTGGCCCGTCAGCGATGACACCGTCCTGCACCTCGCCACCGCCGAGGGGCTGGCCACAGGTGTGGGGACTCCGTGACACCCCAGTGACAGAAGGGAGGGGTCCCTGAGGTTGGGGATCCCATTGTACCCCAGGATGGCACTGCAGGGGGGTGTCCTTGTATGTCCCCTGAGGGGTGGGGGGTCTCTGCTGTGTTCCTTGGGGTGTGGCTGGGTGTCCCCTTACAGCCCTGGGATATGTCAGGGAGGTCACCATGACATCCCTGACTTGAACTGGGATTGTCCAGCTCTGGAGGGGGCTTTGGGGCATCTTCATTCCACTTCCCCCACCTTTTAGGGGTTTCCATGGGGCTTGGGGGGATGTGTATCCTTGTTTCCTCTAGGTGGGCATGGTGTGGGGATTGTGAGTGTGGTTTTCCTCATTTATGTGCCCTTTCCTCCCGTACTGGGTGCTGGAAATGGGGACATTTCCCCCTCCCACTTTGAGAACCTGGCAGGGTACCCCTTTCTCAGTTTGCAGTGCTCAGGAGGATTCCCCATTTCTCCACTAAACTCATCCTGCTTCCCCTTCAGTTCTGGGGGCTCTGTGGGGCAGTTTCCATTCCCCACATTTCTGGGAGTGGTGCAATGGGGATCTTATTCTCCCCTTTCATTTCTGGGGGGTTCATGGGGCCTGTCCCTGCCAGCCTGGGTAACCTAGGTGAGTTTTTCACACCCACCCTGCACAGGCCTGGAGGGGGAACCCCTCCTGCAGGAGCTGGCTCGCCGCTATGTGGCCGCCATGGGGGACATGGAGGGACGCAAGCCCGGACCCAGCAGCATCCTTGGTGAGCAGAGCCCAGGGATCCGGGGAGAGGCAGGGGGGCTCGGGGAGCCTCACACCCCCGTGTCCCCCCAGGCACCTCCCAGCTGCGGCCGGGGGAGCCCCAGGGCTATCGCATCCCCTTCAACCCCCGCGGCACCGGCTGCGGGGCTGCCATGCGCAGCCTGGCCATCGGCCTCAGGTGGGACACCAGGGGACACCGGGGGACACCGGGGGACACTCGGGGACAGGGATGTGGGTATCAGAGCTGGGGGGTGGGGACAGGGATGTGGGGGTGGAAGGGGGTATACAGGGATGCCACATGGGCACACGGGGAGGGACACGGGATGGGGATAAGGGGGTGTCAGAGCTGGAGGGAAGGGGACATGAAGGGATGGGAGTAGGGTAAGAGGGACATGAGGGTGTCAGAGGGAGAGGAGTGGGGACATGGGGTTGGTGGAGCTGGAGAGGACAAGGTCCAGGACTTGGGGACATGTGGTGCTGGAGCTGGGAGAATGGGGACAGAGAACATGGGGACAGCAATAGGGAAGAGGGACACAGGTCACAGAGCAGCTAAGAGTGGGATTTGGCAGTGATGGGGCTGAGAGAATGGGCACAGCAGGGACACGGACAGCAGGGACAAGGGTGGTGGTATGGGAATACAGGAGCAGGAGCGTGGGGACTGGTCTGATGCCAGTGCAGGTACCCACGTGCCTCGGAGCTGCCGACTCTGATCCGAGTGAGCATCGAGAGCGGGCGCATGACCCACCACCACCCCACTGGTGAGTGCCAGACTGGCAGGGGAGGGCTGGAGGGGACAGCAGAACCCCCCTGAAGCCCCTGTCCCCACAGGGTACCTTGGAGCACTGGCGGTGGCCCTCTTTGGGGCACTGGGGGCTCGGGGTGAACCCCCAGAGCGCTGGGGGGCTGAGCTGCTGCGGGTCCTGCCCCTGGCATGGGACTACGTGGAGAGCACCGGGGTGGCCGTGGAGGACAATGCTGCTGCCTGGCCATTCTTTGGGGAGGCGTGGCGCCGGTGAGAGGGCACTGGGAGGGTTCTGGGGGGACACTGGGAGCACAAGGAGGGGCTGGGGAGGGTACTGAGAAGGGCTCAGGGGTCCATTAGTGCCACTGGTGCCAGCCAGGTTCTCTGACGGTCCTGGCAGGGCATTGCAGAGGTGTCACTGGTGCCACTGCTGACCCTGATGCCCAGTCTGTCCCTGCTGCAGCCAGTGTCCTTTGTGTCACTGCCAGAGGTGCCATCCTCAGGGACAGTGACCTCTATTCCTGGGACATTGAGTCTTCTTGGTGGTACTGGTATCCAGTAACTGGATGCCCATGTCTATCCCTGGGTTTCCTGATTGTCCCCAGTGTCCCCACAGCTATCTGGGATCACAGGGGCTGCTGGAGAGCCACAGCCCAGTGACCCCCAGTGTCACTGCTTACCCCACTGTCTAGTGACACCAGTGTCCCCAGTGACCTCAATGTCCCCACGTCTCTGCAGATACCTGGACTCCCGCGGGCTCCTGGAAGGTGGTGGCCCACCGCGGGTGCCACCCCTCCCGTCCCCAGCCGAGCGGGACACAGAGTACCTAGGCTGGGCACTGGACGGGTGGGCAGGGCGCAGCGGCCACGACGCCCCCATGGTGGCCCTGGAGGCGCTGCTGGCGGCCGGCGGGAGCTGGGACGAGCTGTGCGCCAGGGCAGTGCTGCACGGCGGGGACAACGACTCCACGGGGACCATCGCTGCTGGCTGCTGGGGGCTGCTGGGGGGGCTGGCCTCCGTCCCCCCGGGGCTGCACGGCCGCCTCGAGTACCGCGGGCGGCTGTGCCATGCTGCCCAGCGGCTGCACACGCTGGCCTGGGGGGCACGGTGAGTGTCCCTCTGTCCCTCTGTCCCTCTCCACGGAGAGCTTGGCAGTGAACAGGGTGCAGCAGGGACCTTCAGGTGTGCTGGGGTCCAAGGCAAGCCCCAGGGTGGCCACCACATGGCCTTTTAGTGCTGCCCAGAACCTGCCCAAGGAGCCTCAGTCGCCCCCAGAGTAAAAAACATCTCGCGAGTCGCCCTGGTCTGGATTTGTGCCCTGCGCCTCTCGTCCTGCCCGTGCTTCAGGTCCAAAGCGTTCCTCTTCAGATTCTGCCCCAAGCTTTTCAAACCTTTATTTGCATACTGGATCCTCAATAGTAAGGAAAACTTTGGTGCAGTTCGTTTGAGGATTGCTTTAGGTAAATAACTGAAATGCAACACCAGAGAAAACAGCATCGCTTTTAAATCACCAAAGCCTATACACATGGAAGACCAAATAGTCAACTTAAGGTCCAAACTGACATCTTCATGCTACAAAACCACATTTATACATTCTACAGGTTATGTTTTTAAACTCATTTAGGGTGTCATTTTGAAGGTCCCAAGTTTGACCGGGGGTGCTCACAATGCCATCAGTGCACAGACAGACCCGTGGGCACAGCTCGGCCCCAGAAGGGCGGCTGAAGTCCCAGGGCCAGTTTGGGGTGTGCTGAGCAGCGCTCTATTTGCTCTCCTCCCAATATTTTATGGGGGCCAACCTCCTGCAGCGTTCTGGGGGGGATCTGGAGCATTGGGGCTGCCCATTCCAAACATTTCAGGAGAAACTTTGTCATTTGGAGGGATCCTCCCAAACATTGGGGCCCTCTAGTGGAGTCCTGCGGCCTCGAGGGGCATCCCCCAGACTGTCCCCAGTCTTTCACTGGTTAATAAAATCAGGTTCGAGGTTTAGTTGCTCCACAACTTGTCGGTGCCCTCCTGCACTGCCTCGGGTTCTGTCCTGCCCCCATACCCAGCCCTGACCTCCTGCCCCAGCCCCGCTAACCCGCCCCGCTCCGTATCCCACACCACACTGAGCCATGGTCAATGGCGGGCACGCCCCTCAGGGAGCACGACAAGGGGCGGGGCCTGCCACAGGGAGGCGTGGCTCCACCGCTGCCCCCAAAATGAGCGACAGCTCCGTTAGCCAATGGCGCGGTAGAGACAGGAGGCGGGCTTCGCCTGACAACTAATGGCAGCGGGAGGCTGGCGGGCAGCGCAGCGCGGCTAACGGCATTGCTATGACGGGCGGCGCCGGCAGCCAATGAGCGGCGGAGAGCGGTGCCACCAGCCAATGAGGCAGCGGGGGTGGGATCGCGGCCAGCCAATGAGGTGGGGCGGAGCGGGGCGCGGCCGAGGCGCGGAGGATCGCGGCGGGCGGATCGCGTCCCGGATGCGGCAGGGCTGCTCCCGGTACCTGTCGGCTGAGCGTACCCGCGGGCCCCGGCCACCCCCGCTCCCTTCCCTCGGTACCCCCAGATCAGGCCCGCCACGCCCTGGGATCCCCTCAGGCAGCAGGCCCAAGCCCACGGCTCTCCCCTTGTTCCTCTTTGTTCTCTCCACCCCTTGGAGCTGCGCCCGCCCCCAGCCGAGCCCGAGTCAACAAAAGCTCCGAGGTCCTCTCCGCGTTTGTGGGGCTGTGGGCTCCCCTTCTTACCCCGTCCGTTCGTGCGTGCCCATCAATTGTGCTCCCGCTCTGCACTCTCCGGCCCTGAACCCACCCCACCCCGGCTGTGCCGAGCCCTCCCGGGGTTCCCTCTGTGCTGCTGGGGTGCCCGTGCCTGCCGAGGGTGCGCTGTGCCCGCAGAGCCCCCGGCGCCATGGGGGAGCCGCGGTACCTGCAGGCCGAGTGCGCTTTCCGGCCCGGGGCACACACGGTGCGGGTGACCCTGAGCCGCAGCACGCTGCGGGTGGAGGTGGAGGCTCACGGCACCGGCGACCTGTGGAGGGGAGAGTTCGATGCCGCCTGTGAGTGCTGGAGGGAGGCTGGGGAGCTGAGGGGATCACCCACGGCTGCCGCTGACCGAAATACCACCCTCTTCTCGCAGTCATCGAAGACCTGACCCGCAAAACGGGGAATTTCAAGCAGTTTGGCATTTTCTGCAGCATGCTGGAGTCGGCACTGACACAGGTGTGGCCGTGCTGCTCCCCCCACACGGTGTTTTGGGGGTAGCTGGCGTGGGGTGTGTGTCCCACCGAGCCCCCTTGCTTTTCAAACTTTCTGCAGAGCAGCGACTCCGTCAGCCTGGAGCTGCTCACCTTCACCGACCTGGAGACCCTGCACAGCCGGAAAGTGGGGGCAATCACCCGGCCGCCCCCTTGCACCTCTTCCCCCCTCAACAACAAGCGCTATCTCATTCTCGTCTACTCTGTGGAGTTCGATAGGTGACAGGGGACACCAGGCAGGGCTCACGGGGGGGTGACTCCAGCCTGACCTCCTCCACGTGCTCTCCTGCAGGATCCATTACCCGCTGCCGCTGCCCTACGCGGGTCGGCCGGACCTCGTGGCGCTGGTGCGGGAGCTGCAGGAGCAGCTGGGGCAGCTCCGGGCACGGCGCCTGGAGGAGACCCAGCGCTTGCGGGATGCGTGAGTGGGGCCGCTGACACCCGGAAGGGTTTGGGGGTTCCTGTCTCTCAGGGTGAGGAGGGAACCCCCAGAGCACCCCCTGCCATTCCCCCCAGGCTGTGGCAGGCACTGGAGGAGAAGCGGGCAGCAGAGGGCCGGCACCAGCGCGAGTACCGGCAGCTGGCTGCAGAGGTGGGCTGGGAGGGTGGGAGCTGCTCTGGGGAGGGACACGGGCTGCCAGATGCACAGTGAGCCTTTCTTCCCCCCTCGAAGCTGGCCCAGGCAAAGGCGTCAGAGCAGAAGCTGCAGCTGCGGGTGAAGAACCTGACAGCTGAACTGGCCTCCTGCAGGAGGGGGTGAGGCTGGGGTGAACCCTGCAGAGGAGCCCTCATGACCATGGGGTGTCCCCCTGTCCACCCCTGATGGTGCTGGTTCTCTTGGCAGCCGCCAGAAATCTGCCAGCCCGGCCCCACGCACTCAGGAGCGACGCTCAGCATCCCTGGAGAGCCACAGGAGCAGCCGGGGCCACCCCTCGCCAAAGTCCCTGTCACCTGCAGGTGTGGGACACTTGGGGACACACACCCAGGAGTGGAGACAGGACATGGCTCACCCCCTCCTCACCCTGACCCCTCCTCTGCCTCCCCCTGCCAGGCTCTCGCCCACCATGCTTCGACCCCACTGCCTTTGTCAGGGCCCGGCAGCGCCGGCAGAAGGAGGCTGAGCTCAGAAAGTAAGTGATGCTGACAGCTCCCTCCATCAGCATCCCTCCCTGGTACCTGGGGGGTCTCCTCCCCCCTTCAGCCCCACATTCCCCCTTATCACCATCTCCCTTGGGTGCAGCCAGCGGCGTGGAGTGGCTTCTGGCAGCAGCAGCCCGGCGAGGAGCCACAGGCGCAGCTCGTCTGGTGAGTGGGGAACGGGAAGAGGGCTGGGGGTGCACCCACTGCGTGCTGGGGCTCCTCCCTCAGCTTCTCCATCCCCGTTTCTCCCTGCAGCTGACAGCTCCCAGAGCTGGCGCCGGGGAGGGAGCCCTGGCAGCAAAGCCCCTGAGCGCCCTGAGCCCTGCAGGTAATGCTGGGGCTGGGCAGAATGGGTGGGCATCCCTTCCAGCACCCTGTAACCCCCCTCCTTGGGCAGGGACAGGAGAGTGACCCGTACACGGAGACCCCTGAGCACCTCGTTCTGCAACGGCCCCTGTGTGGTGAGTGGCTGCCCCTTTGGGGTTCCCCCACCCCTCCATCCCAAAGCAGGGTGACCAGGAGGTCACTGGTGACCCCCAACCTCCCCCCCAGGTGCCTCGCCCAGCTGCCAGCCACAAGCTGCCAGTGTGCAGGACTGCTGGCAAGCGCCCTGGTAAAGGTGAGGCCCCATCTGAGCCCCTAGATATTTGAGGGATACCCTAACCCAGACCTTTGTTAACCCTTTTTTCCTGCACTGCCTGCCCAGAGAACTGCTCCAAGGAGCCCTCAGCTGAACTGGCCGAGATCGATGCCCGGCTGCAGGCTCTGCAGGAGTACATGGACAGCCTGAACACCCACATGTGACCCCTCCAGGGACACACCCCTCTCCCTGTCCACAGGGGGGTGACAGTGGTGGTGTGGTACAAGTGTCCCCCCAAATAAACCTTTGTTTGGCCCCAGAGTGTGTCCTCCTTGGGATGGGGCAAGGGCAGTGTCTCCCAGGAGGGACACAGGGCTGGGGGCACTAAGGACATCACAAAATGTGACAGTACCGCTGCTTGGGGACATGTGGGATACAGCCCAGGCCACCAACCTCTTCCCCTGGGCCACCAGTGAATTCAAAGGCCACTGCAATGTGACACCAGCACCCATGTCACCCTACTCTGTCCCTGCTCCTGTAGCACTACTGTCCTCACAGTGCTGGCCGAGCTCCCCACTATGGCTCTGACACCACCATGCCTTTATTCAGTTCCATGTCACATAAAACAGTGGCATTCGGGGACAATGGTGGTGAGCCAGCACCAAGCTGCAGTTCAGGGATGCTGGCAGCTGGCCAGGGGCCCAGCAGTGAAGATGTCACCAGCACATGCAGGTCCTGGGGCACCACGCTGGCAGTCTCTGTGCCAAAGCCACTGTTTGGTGTCACTGTGGTACACTGGTGATGATGCCACCGTGCTGAGGAGGTCTTCAGGGTCAGTGAGGGGTGCTGCAAACATGACTCCATGTCGGAACTCCACCCTCAGCAGCGCTGATCCTGCCGGCGCTGACCCCGCCGTGGCAGATGCGGTACTGTCGATGCCGAGGGAAGGAAGCAGTGCTGCTAGATGTCCTCCCCGTGTTGGTGCCGCCGCTGGTGCCAGCCGCAGTGGGGATGCTGAAGCGGCTGTGCCGGTCAGAGCTGCCCGCGGATGTCGGGCAGGAGGTGACACGCAGTGACGATGTCGATGGTGTCGGCCACGGCGCGCAGATCGCGGCGGGCCAGGCGCAGGCAGTGCGCTGCCGCGGCGGCGGTGACCTGCGCCCGGCCCAGGGCTCCCCCGAGCCCGCCCAGGCTCCGGGCGGCGCTGCCGTAGCTCTGCCGCAGGGCGCTGCCCACCGCCCCCCGCAGCCGCCCCGTCCCCTCCCGCAGCCGCTGCTGCAGCAGCGAGGGGCCGCCCCCCCACACGGCCGCCGGCTCCTCCGCCAGCACCGGCGGCGTCTTCGGCCTCTGCTGCTCCTCCTCCTCCTCCTCGTCCGTCTCCGAGGCTTCGCCCGGCACCTTCAGCCCGGCCCCGAGGGCCTCCCCGGCTGTCTCCACCAGCAGCTCTGGCTCCGAGTCGCTCTCGGAGGCTTCGCCCGGCACCACCCGGGGAGGGCGGGGGGCGGCCATGGCCTGGAGGGGACACGGGTGCGTCAGGGGAGGGGGACACCCGGCCTTGTCCCTGCGGACCCCCTCCCGATCCCCTGGGCTCAGACCCCTCTAGCCCCCACCCAGCGATCCCGGGGGCTCCCGCGGCCCCGGCAGTGACCCCACATCCCCGGGAGCGACCCCACGTCCCCACAGCGGGGTCCCCTCGATCCCACATCCCCACAGCACGGTCCCACATCCCCCCACAGTGACCCCACACCCCCACAACAGGGTCTTACACCCCCACAGCAGGGTCCCACATCCCAACAGCGGGGTCCCCTCGACCCCACAGCCCCACAGTAACCCCGCATCCCCACAGCAGGGTCCCACATCCCCACAGTGACCCCACAGCGGGGTCCCCTCGATCCCATATCCCCACATCGGGGTCCCACATCCCCCCACAGTGACCCCACGTCCCCACAGCAGGGTCCCACATCCCCCCACAGTGACCCCACGTCCCCACAGCAGGGTCCCACAGCCCCCCAGTGACCCCACATCCCCACACCAGGGTCCCACAGCCCCACTGCAGCTCCCCCGGCCCGCTCCCACCTCCGGCCCGCAGCGCCGCAGGTCACATGACGCGCCGCCCACGTGACCGCACCCGGAAGTGCCGGCTCCAGCAGGCCCAGGAGCACAAAAATCTGAAATAAAGAGAGAAAACCACTAAGGGTGGGACTAAATAACATAAAGCCGGAATTGCACAATGAACTCCAATAAACTAATGGAGCAGAACTTATAAAAGTGAGAGACCTCGTGGCCGGTCGTGCATTTTGTGACCATTTTGGTTCATCTTGTGCTGCCCAAGGTGGATCCACTGAGGAGATCCTTTTACTAAATCCCTGCTTTATTCTTTAACTCTGCCCAGCCTCTGCTCCAGGTCAGCCTTCTGAAGGCATCACCCTCTAGAAGAACTTTAAATGGCGTTGTTGCCGTGGTGCTCCCCGCAGCGCTCTGAAGGTGGCAGCGCACAACACATTTCTGGGGTGTTTCTGACTCAGGTTTCTGTGCTTCCAAACATGCGGGTGCTTGGGTTAATGCAGTCGCTGCATATCTGCATTTTCCCAGATGACACTGGCACTTTTCCTTTGCAATTTTTCATTATGGACAAGACAGCATTTTATCTTTACAGTCTTACACACTGTGGGCTATCTGCTTATTTCAATTGACTTTTCCCTAGTTTGCTTTTTTACTTTTCTTCTACCTTTATTCTAGTTCATTTGGAAGCAAATCACTTGGAACTCATATAAGTCCTCTATCTCTAGTGTGTGCTTTTTTTTTTTTTTAATTTTTTTTTTAATGTTTCAACTTTCCAGGAAAAATGTTTCCAGAGCCCTGAGTGAATTAAACAAATAACACATGATTTTCCATAAAAGGAACAAACTGGCTCCGTTGCGGATAGGGAACTGCTTTTTGTTTATTAAAAGCTGATGCTTTAAAAGTAAGAGAAGGTAGCTGGGGCTTTAGGAATGATGAAAAATTGGATTTCCTCTCTGTTGCTGCAGGTGGCCTGGCATGACTCAATGTTTTTACATTTGCTTGCAGAAAGTGATGTAAATTACAGCACACTGTGACCATTTTGCATTGAAAAATGTATTTATTTCTATCTGCCATTCGTGTCTTTTTTAGCTGTGTGAAAAACGCCAATCACTTGTTTTTAAAATTTTAAATGTTTAATAGCAATGAAATGGTTATAAAAATAGCAATATAATTAGAGTAATAAAAATTGGGACAATTAGGATTTAGGGCAATACGAGACAATAAAAACAAAGAGTTAGGGACGGTCTGGGTACCTTTTCTGGGCAAAATAAGCCCAAAAAGGGACCCACATTAGCAGAGGATTAACCCTTAAAAGCCACAGCCTGTTGCACATCCATACACCTCACACATGATGCATAAATTCCATTCCAACACAGGATTCTGTCTGGTCACTGTAAACTTCTTCCTCTGAATGCTGACAGCTCTTCAGGGCTGAGTGGGGTGGGAAGAAGTTCGTTTCTTCTCATAATGGGGCAATAAATTGCTTTTAAGGGTTAATCCTCTGTTAACGTGGATCCTTTTTCAGGCTTATTTTGCCCAGAAAAGGTACCCAGATTGTCCCTAACTCTTTGTTTTTATTGTCTCGTGTTGTCCTAATCGTCCCGATTTTTATTACTCTAATTATATTGCTATTTTTATAACCATTTCATTACTATTAAACTTTTAAACTTTTAACACCAAGTGACTGGTGTTTGTCACAATCTGTACAGGTGAATTGATTCTGTCCCAGGGGATTTTCGGGGTGGGAAGGTCAGGCATGCAGATACTCTGGGCAGGCTATATTTACTCTGCAGTGCCTCTGTCAGCAGCCATACATAGCCACTCTCTCTCAGGGCAAGCAGCCCCAACAAATCAGTGCTCTGAGAAACCCTCAAGGACCTTCATTAAATCTGTAATGCAAAAGTTTCCAAAAAATAGAATGCTCTGTCTGTGTCTGGAGTCTTCATAGCCGTGGTAAGTGATTGCATTTTCTCTGTCTTTTGGAACAGAAATGATTTCTGTTGTGAGTTTTAGCTGAAATTTGGATTAAAAGCTTTTTCTCTGTTTTCTAATAATAGCAATGTAATTAAAAGTTCAGCGTTTATTTCATGTTTTGCCTCAAGGCATAATAGAATATCCATACATTTGTACATATATATTTTTTTATTATGGTCTTGCCACATCCTGTGGATGTGGGCTCTAAGGAAACAGCCACATTCTTTTCCTACATGCCAGAATTTCTGGACTAAAGGCCACATTCATCAAAGCTAAAAAAGAGAAATTTTCCCTAAAAGGAACCCAGATTTGCCTAGACCATACAAAGATGAGGAAAACAGACAAAGAAACAACATTGCCCTGCTTATTAAAAAACAATATTACACCATTGATTGGAAAATTACCTTCCTACTGTTTCAAGTTGCTGCTTTGGCATGCTGATCACTAGATTTTCTATCTCAGAAAACACTGGGATAATTGAAAAATAATGAATGTGAATGAAAAACAATGACTGAATATTGTGATTACTGCACTCTCATGTGGTCTTTTGCTTCCCACAGCCATGGGTATCCTTTCTGTACTTGCTCTGCCATTGCTGCTCTTGGGGATCAGTGGAATTATTTACATTTACCAGTCAGTCAGGTGGCTGCTGTCCAAGTCAGCCGTGCAGAACAAGGTGGTGGTGATCACAGATGCCATCTCTGGGCTGGGCAAGGGTGAGTTGTGAGTGAGTTGTCTCGTTTCTTCTCAGTGGCAGAGAACAGAAGCAGCCAGAGAGCCACGCTCTGGGTGATAAACATGCACACATGGCCTTGGATGTATTCAGAACTGGCTGGATGAAGCAGAAGTTAATAATAAAAATAAATATGTTTATATTTGTAATCATAAATATATTTTATATAATATATAACAACTGTATTGTTATATTTGTATGTATAATATAAATATATTATCTTTAGTATATATATTTATATTATATAATTATTATACTGATAAACGAGTAGGAGCTGCAGAGCTTTGCATTTATTTAATTCAATAGAACGAGAGGTTTTGGAAGAGCACTGAGTGCTATTTTTAGCTGTTGCTACTGTAAGATCTCATTTCACAGGCTGTCAGTGCAGGGTGGCTGCATAAACAGGTGTCACCTTACTTTTTACATGTTCCTTTTCAGCCCTTAGACACTTCAACAGCTCCTGCTTCTTGTGAACAGCAATGCTCACCCCTTTGTCCCTATTTTTATCTCTTCAGCCTCTATATATATTTTAAATATCACCTGAATTACTCCTCCAGTGCTCCCAGCTGGGCTGCCTGGCTCTGTGCAGTGTGGGTGGCTTCAGAGGACAAAGAAGAAGAGGCTGCTTAGAACAGAGGCTGGACAGAGTTAGAGAATAAAGCAGGGATTTATTAGAAGGCTTCCTATTTCCCACCTATTTTATTATTATATATATTATATATATTGGAAAAGGTTAAGAGAATAAAGTGGGTATTTATTAAAGGCCTTCAATAAATACACCTTGGGCAGTGCAAGAACCTCCCAGAGGCTACACCCAAGATGGACAATGATCACAAGTTTTTTATACAGACATAGGTTTGGTCTATTTGCATATCAGGGGTTAATTGTCCAATTACATCTTCAGGTAATGAAGGAATACTCCCCCAGTTTGCTTCTCCCTGCAATTTTCTTTTAAAAATTAAATTTTTAAATTTTGTTTAATTAAAAATTATTTTTTTTTCTTTTAAAAATTTAATTTTTTAATTTTGTTTAGACTTTTTGGGCCCTGAGGCTGTAGGGTATCCTTGGATCTCAGGCCTAGAGAAATTGTTCTGTCTAACCAAAATGTGAAGGCAGCAGCTGACAATTTACATGGAGTTCAGAGTTTTGCACTAATGGATCTGCAAAATACAAAGGCTAAAACTGAAGGCATCAAGGATGTGCAATAATTTATTTAAACAGCTAATCTGGGTGGCCAGCCACTTTGCATCTCTGCTCCAGAGGAGGTCACAAAGATGCCCAGAGGGCTCTGCTCTGGAGCCAGGCTGGCAGAGTGGGTGTTCATCCATATTATATTATATTAATTATATTATATTATAGTAATTATATTTTATTATATTTATTATATTATATTTATTATATTATATTTATTATATTATATTTATTATATTATATTTATTATATTATATTTATTATATTATATTTATTATATTATATTTATTATATTATATTTATTATATTATATTTATTATATTATATTTATTATATTATATTTATTATATTATATTTATTATATTATATTTATTATATTATATTGCTATACTAAAACTATACTAAAAAGAATAGGGAGAAAGGATGCATCAGAAAGCTGAAAAAGAATAGAAAGGAATGACAACAAAAGCTCATGATTCCCAGAGAGTCCGAGCCAGCTGACTGTGATTGGCCATTAATTAGGAACAACCAACATGCCCCAATCAAAGATGCACCTGTTGCATCCCACAGCAGATAGTTAATGTTTATGTTTAATTCCTGAGGCTCCTCGGCTTCTCAGGAGAAAATCCTATGGAAAGGATTTTCATAAAATATGTCATGGTGGCAGCAAACCTTGGAGCCACTTCCAGGGCCTGAAGGGGCTCCGGGAGAGCTGGAGAGGGATGGGATATCGAGGCGACGCCACGTCTGGGAGGAAATTAATTAATTTATTAGTTTATTATACTATATTACACTCCATCTAAACTGGAACTGCACAAAATCTGGTGACTCCTGCTGACTGACAGCCTGCACACCCTTGGCCCTGACAGGCCAAGGAGACCAAACCCGCTCTGGGTACGGAATCTCCACATTGCATTCTGCTTTGCCACAACACAGGAGCAGCAAATGAGACAAGAATTGCTTTGGCCATCCTTTTCTCTGCTTCTCTCACTGCTTCTCCCAGGTTCAGAGAATGTGAATCCCACAGAGAGGGATTTTGGGCAGGGCCTGGTGTGACAGGCCAGCTGTGGATGTGGGCTCCAAGGAAACAGCCACGTTCTTCCCCTACGTGCCAGAATTTCTGGACTAAAGGTGACATTCATCAAAGTTAAAGAAAGGAGAAACAAATCTAT